TCTTATCAGTTTTCTATATTAGGGTTGTATGTTACACCTAATGTTGTTAAATGAATGTTTATTGCATTATTTCAGTTTCATGTGTGTTACCATAATGGTGTTTAGTGTTTGTGTGAATGAGCTTCTATATATTATTATTTAAAAGCTGCTTGTGATGGGCTTTGGTTCATGTGACTTTCTCATCACCACCTGCATTTGGTGGTTATCAGTGTATTACAAAGGTACAAAACAGATTTCAGTACTTCAATAGGTTGGTATATTAACATTATATCATTTAACGAAAGTACGGTATTTAACTGTAAATTTAAGTTAAAACTGTAGAACCTAAAATGTGGCTACCATATTTTTTACTGTAAAATTCCGGCAACCACAGCTGCCGTTTTTTTACCGTAAATTTTACTGAATTTCTTTAACAGTGATAAGCTCATATTTACTGTAGTTATGTGAATTTGCCATACCCTATGATGTCTAATTGTTCATGATAATTAATGTTGCAAATGTATTATTCACTGGATCTCAACTGGAGGAGAGCCGAAAATGGGTCGCAGATCTTTTCTAATTCCATTAATAAAATGCAATAAAGAACGTAATCATGCATAGTTGGAATAGCAAAATAAATTTATAAACATTTAAAAGGGAAGAGGAATGCTTCCCAAACCTTAAAAAACAATATTACTGATCTGAATGGACACTATCGGATGAAAACACAAAAACTTGAGGCTGGATAATGACACTGTTGTGTTCTGTACACTATAAGAAGAAAACTCTATAGAAAAATGGAAAATGTACTAATCATTTTAAGCCAGGTAATTTATCTGTTAAGTCTACCCTAAAGTTTAACCCTAAAACACAACATGCAATGCGTAATTCAAATACAAGAGCATGTGATAAAATAAAACAGTACATTGCGATTTATTTTTACAGACTTTTCCTAGATTTACTCTTGAAGTTGTTTTATAATTGATGAACCGCATCATTGACACTTATTGAACAGAACTGAATAAACAATGAATGTGAGTTGAGCAGAATAATGACACTAGTCATTATTCTGACAACTTGACTTGTGCTGTGTGTCAAAATCTGTGTGTCCATTGACTCAAACCCTTGTGTCCCAAATTAGGCAGATGCCAACATGAGCAGGCTATGTGATATACCTTCATTCTCAAACTTCCACTAACAAAGTATATGAAGTATTGGCTGCTGACAGCATGAAACCAGAGGTTTTCAAAGTCTTTAATAACATTAAAATGAGCACCATTTCGTATTATTAATACATTTCAGTGTTCGATTTAAATGTCATTTTTGTTTACTGTTCTACAACAAACAACACATGAGAAAATGAACAAATAAGTATTAGGGTACATTTACATGGCAATGATGTGCTAAAAACAGATTTTTCTTTTTCCATTTTCCATGTACAGACGGCAACGTTGTCAAAACGATCCCCGTTCACATGTATTGTGAAAACGACTTGAAACACTGTAGCATGCCAAGCCAGTAGTTGGTAATGTCACATTCTAAAGAAACACTACGCAAACACGTAACACGCATGCGCATGATGTTGCAGTTTTCACAAACTCGCGTTTTTGTATTTTATTCAGAGATGATAACGGTATAATTTTCACCCGTTTTCAAAAGTTTGCGTTTTCAGGCACCCAACACACTGTTTTAGTTGAAAAGGGTATTGTGTAAATGCCCCCCCCCCCTTATCTTCTTAAAATGAGTTTATAAATCAACAACCACAATTTTTTTTTACTCAGTTATATTTGCAAGCATAGTGCACAATTTACTGTAGCTTACACTCAACAGCATTTGAGCACAGACACTTTACTGGCTCGCCTTCCAGCTCATCGGAGGTCAACACCATTTAATAGATGCAGCTAATAGCAGGTGCTTGAGGACACCAAACAATATACGTTCTCATAAAAATAATTCCATTGGGCTTGATTATAAATTATTAGTGAAATTTACTGTCCTCTAAAAGGCTCAGGAAAAATCCTAGCTTGACAGTTTCATCACCATCACTATAGATATTACCGTAAACCAGTTTATCTTTGTGTTTAGCTGCAAGCAATTCCTGCAGAGAGACATTTATTAGTATTTCAATCTCAAGGGCAGAAGGTTGGAAACGAGAAATATGCAACATGGAAGACAAAGACTGCATTTAAAATGCATATATGCTTAATTTCAAAAGACTTTAAAAACTGTTTCATGGGGTCCTTTTCCATAAAACATGTCCTGTATAATCATTCCAGTATTTCACATCACCCATCACTCCTCCAGACACACATTTCAGTTCAAGAGTCTTCCTTTCTCCCATGTGTATATCATCTGGGCTAACAGACGCAAGGTGAATGTGGACGAAAGTCTTCTTTGAGTGAAGTTGTGTGTTGACGTCGAGGCTGAATTATGGATGAGTTCACTCGAAAGATGAGTGCTGTATGGAATTCATTGTGGATTTGCTGACAGTTCTGGTGCACCTTGATCCAGTGGGAGAGAGAAAGAGAGAACATTTGGGGATAGAAGTACTGTAAATCCTCTCCTCTTCATCATTGCGATAGAGTGCAAACCCTTCACTAGTCCGTCCAGTCGTTTCATCCTCTGTGGTGCATATGTTTGGTGGATAAAATAATCTGATAATGCAGTGGAATAAATAAAACACACAATCTAATGTGATCTCCTCCCACTACATACCAGCCTCTGGGATCCTGCCCTTTCTCCACATTCATCTTCATATACAGCCGAAGTTCATACTTAGACTTGTGTGATAAGTTGCAGTCTAGAAAATGTACAGTGTGAATTTACAGTAGGTTATATTCGTTGATAGTAGTTATCTACCTTCAATTTGGCCAATACTGTACAGTATTGCAGTAATAATCTGTATTAAAAAAATGTATTCAGTCACCACTTGTAGTACACTTGAACCCACTAGTGGGTTGGATTAAGTGTACTACAAGTGGTAACCAAATACATTTTTTAATCAGGGAAAGTATGTTAAAAGCACATTTAAGTTCCTATTCATGCTGTCCCAAAATAGCACATTTAAGTACACTAAGAAGGTTATCTTAAGAAGTACTAAAGTATAATTTTTGTATATTAAGTACAAAATTAGTGCGTGAAAATAGAGCACTTTAAGTACATTACGGAAGTGCACTTATTTTTCGCCTGGGAAGTCACAGTGTGTATTTCCACCTGTCATCAAAATAGACGCTAACAAACAAAGCTAGGTTCTCCAGATGAGATAACCATAGCAAAAGTACACTGCCATTCACTTTTCAATGACATTAGCATGATCAAGCATGACAAGTACTTTCATTATTATTATTATATATCACAGATCTATCATAAAAACTTCAGTGTTTTGTCTGTAAAATGTACTTTTAGGTGTGCTAAGATGGCCACATAAACTTTGTGTTGCACGACACGATACTTGACCGCTTGCTTGCTGAAAAAGACATTTAATAATTTCGCAGACATTTATTTGTTTTTATTAGTTTTTCTATTTGTTTATTTGTAAATTGATTTGGTTATTTGTTTGTTTATTTTACTGTTGCTGTTTTTGTCACGTTACTTTCTTTTGTAATGTTGATGAGTTTTTGAAAAAATTTAAATCATCATTGTTGATTACCATTGTTGAGTTACATCTGCCAAGTGTTGATATATTTGCATTCCTGGTTGACAATACATACTAAAAGTTACACTAGAAAAACTACTACTCAGCTCACCACACTACAACAGCATTGCAAACACCTCAGCAACTCTTAATGATAAAAATATAAGGTTGTACTGTTTCTGTAACATATCTTATAATAGTCCCATATTGTAGACTGCAAGTTAGCCTATAATAAACTTATTTTCTCCATGTAATACAGTGGAACCAATTGTGTACTGTAACACGTCTGCTGGAAGTCAATTAATTAAAAGTAAATACAACTTCCCAGCCAGAGGGAACACTAGTCATCATAATGGTGACTTCAAACGAAACTCTTCACAGTATTATCCCACAATGCAGCATAATATGTTATTGTTTTTATGGCCTTACAGTAAAACTCTGAATACAATATTTTATTGCAAGAAATCTACTGGCAATATAAAATCCTGGCTATTTTTACAGTGTTCTGTACAAAACAACATCAACAAAGACACCCACGAATATCCAAACAACAAGAAGTGTGAAAAAAGGGTAATATTGGAAACAGATTGACTGGTATGCTGTCAGAACGCATTGTCTCACTGCATGCTGCAGTTCACAATCATATGACGCTTGAAGCATAGCTATTTTTGACACAACATTCATGGTATAATGGTCAAAATGAAGCATGAGTTACTGCTTAACCATGCCATTTACTGTAACAAATGCACATTAATGCTTTTAAGCTACCAATACACTGACAGACAAAGTGAAACTCACTTACTAACTAGCTAGCGTATCTGCACTTTGGAGAATATTACAGTTTGTAAAGTTGACTTGTAGGCAATCATCTTTTGTGAAGGAAAAATTGTCTTGAAATGCCTGGAATGTGATTTTTAGAGAAAATAAAGTGTGGGAGGAGTGAAAGTGAGGGTGCCGGGTTTGCTGAAAAACACTGACAGAACAGATGCTAAGTTTGCATAGTAGTATATGCGCACGCAAACTCACACATGCGCACATACATACACCTACACACCCCTTTACTGCTCGGTCCTGTTCTCAAGCTGCATTTCTTCCATTCCTGCACTGTTTCTCTCCTTTTTTAGCAATCAAACATCATGCACTCCTATGGCTCTGGGCCCACTAGAGACTATAAAAAGATACAGGCTCATGAAATATAGAGAGTGTTCGGGGTTCAATTTTATGGTGCCTATTACTGCAAATTGTAATATGGCTAATTACTCCTCGCCGTGTAAGATTGCTTCAGCAATTGTCTCATGCCCCCATCAGACGAAATTTCAAGCAAATGGCACCTGAGGGGCGTCTATTGAGCATTTCATTATTTTAATTATGTAGACTTATGATTTACCTTCGCAGACGGAGAGAACAAGGCAATTTGAAAGTCTTTCGTTAGGATGCTTTCCTCATGGGTACTGAATCCATTTGTATAGCTTTCCAGATGTACCGATTTGTTCTAAAAAGGAGGCAAGCGACATAGATAACACAAATAACTTTTCTCAAAGCTACAGAGAAATGGTCTGAAGATTATGTCTTGGCCGTTCATAAATTACACATATTTTTATTTGTACCCTACTCGTATATTATTGCCTGCACAGTAGGCTACTTGTCAAATCAGTCTTTGTGAATCCCAGTGTTAAACACAGTTAGCTTGGAGAGTGATTCATCTTAAGTTTTACTGAAAATCTGAGAGTGAGATGGATTTTCAGACTGCTATGATGGAGGGAGCAGAAAATATTGGATTTATTAAAAAAAAAATTTAGGATCAGTTTATGCTTCATCGTTTCTTTCAATAAAACATGGTTGCCATGGATTTATGCATTTGAAGACTGCACAGTTTGGTTCAAACGCTTTGAACCACATTACAATTCAGGGATTCTTTTCTTTGAAACTGGAAATAAACTAAAAACTAGAATTGTAATAAATTTTAAACAAAGTAGAAATATTGTCAATCGAATCGAATAAGCAAAAACAGAGAATTCAGTGCAGTAAAATGTATTCAAAATGCTATGCTGAGAATATGTAATGTAAAATGTTGTATTAAATTAGAAAAAAAAAACAAGCTAAACATTTTCCTTCTTGGCCTCACATCTTTGGAGCTGACTCGATGTGTCAGGAAAACTGCCGATTTTGACAGATGGCTTTGGCATTGACATAATAGCAAAAATAATTTAAATGAGGATTAATATTTAAGTCTACAGCCCTTTTAAATCACATGCTATAAGCGAAGCACAAAATACAAAATCGCCTTTCTTTTAGCAGCCTTAGTAATTCTGTATGTAAAAGAAAATGTATAGTAACTTACATTTTGAGCAGTGACAGTAGACCTGTATTAAATAAACAGTATTTATCTCTATAATATTTGCTTCATCCAGTTTTCATGCTCATGATTTCTGCAGCAGACTAATGTTCCTTTCCCACAAGTCTGTGCCTGACCTTTATGTGATCGTTTTCTAAGAAGAAAGGGGTCATTCGTAGAGAGCAGTTTGATTTTTTTTCTTTTTTGTTTCTCTCTTGGCAACCGAGCATATGCCAGACTCTTGACCTGTGGCCACTTCACTTCCATCTCTTCATGCTAATACATTACTCACATGTACAAAAGCACACTGTACACACCCACACATTGTGGATTTGCTCTGAACATCAGTTACCGCCATTCTCGGAGGTCTAAATTTGTCAGCGGGGTTAAGAGGGACAGAGGGGGCTGATATTGGCTGTGAAGAGATGGGCGATTAACTGTGTGGCTGACTCAGGCGGCTGGTGTCTTTGTATGTCAGGGTGCGATGGAAAAGCCAATGAAACAGTTCTCAGAGGGTGTCATAAACTCTGCTTTATTGCCGGTTTGTGTTGCCTTTGCAGATTAAGTTCAAAGAGAGATGGCTACTCTTCTCCCTCCATTTTAAATCCCGTTTCTATTGAGTTTCTTCTATGGATATATTCTCAGGGCCTCTGAGAAATAACCCTGCAGTCAGCAGCTGCAGGGCAGAGAGTGATTGTAAATGAGGGAGGATTACTCCCTCAGGGTGCTTTTAACCCCTAGGATTCTGGGTAGAAAGTATGTCCTGCCATAGAACCCAGTGGTTACATTTACTTGGGCTTTCTTTCGAAGATCCGTGTGGTAAGGTGTTTTTGCGACCATTTACTCATAATGCCTCTCTTGAGACTTGAGCCAGACTTGTTTTTTCTTTATCCAAAACTGGAAGTAATAACACTGGGCAATAATATTGCACTGTCATGAAACGAGAAAATCTAATATTTTTTCCTGCCACTTCTATAAGTAGACTATAACACTGGGGAGCAACCAGCTAAAAATAGCGAGTAATAGCTAATTAGCTGCATTCAGTAGCGTGAGGCTGATGCTGCATTCAAAACAGTGTATCTGAAAAGCAGCTTGTCTTACAAATCGCCACATTGCTGTTTAATCGCGTTGTACCGAACCCAGAGCTTTAGAACATACATGCTATATAGCGAGCTGAGTTTAGGGAAAAAAATTAACCCACCTGGGCTGTGCTTGTGCTCTGTTTTCAGTCATATTTAGCGCTAGGAAGTCCTATTCATTTTAATGAATCAGTTCATTTAAACCGATGCGTGTAAACGAACGATTCACTAAATTTAACCTGCGCAAAATCCCCTATATTCGCAGTATTCTCAGAATTATATTAAATGGCGCTGCTTTCACCATATATCTTTGCAAAATGATATTTCAATATTTCTGATGATTTTGTATTTATGTGCTATGGAAATAGCCTATAGGCCTATTCATCAATCCAATGCTTATCATCCATTAAATATGTTAATGTCAGGCATCCTTGCCTTTGAAGACAAAAAGAACGGACAAAAAGGGAGTCTGAATTATGGCCATGTCCCTTGGTAATCACTTTTTCAATTTTCAAAGCTAAAGCTGGACTGCTGCCGTTGAGAAGATGATCAGCACTTCACCAAATGCTCCAGCCTCAGCAGAACACCACACATGTCAAGTATTAAAGGAAAGCGGAAAACTGATGAGAATCGCAGGCCATAGAGAATACCATACAGCAGCAACAAACACCTACAAACAAAACTAGTGCTTCAGATTAATTTCCATTTGCCACCAGTCCTGCTTAAACATGAATAACACAGGTCAATCACTGTGTTCATGTGTATTACATAGAAAGCTTACATACAGACAAATAAGCACTCAGAACCTTTCATTAATACTGCTAATACACCAGTTGCACAGTGTCCCACATAATTCTGCACCTTTTTCTATAAATAAATAATTTTTCATAAATAAATAATTAAATGAAACATATTATATCATTGTGAACCATCAATTCCAAAGGAATGAAACAATATGAAAAGGAATAATTTAGTCCACCATATAGTTTTCCACTTTTCTCTGCATATTTATTAATTGGCAGTGCGGCTGAAGATTTGCATTTAATCATCATATACCTGAGATGAGGAACTGTTGTTTACACAGCGTATTTCCAATATGTAAAAGTGTTGGCATTTAAGGGCATGTTTCACATAGAAGTAATAAATTGCTTAAAGGAACTAGCAGAATGACATGAACAACAACACAAATTTACAAAGACATCCTGAAATCCAAGATTTTTTTAAAGGCTAAACACTGGCACAATTTAATATTCCCAAGCCTCATAATCTCTGCATTTCTATGCAACATATGTATGCAATGAAATGACATTTTCATTACATATTAGCAGATATTTGAGCTCAGACTTCCAAAATGTGATGTGTTCATGGGTTTAGTAATTTAATCCATGATATGAACTAAAACAGTAATTAGCAGGGCCACATTAACCCAAGGGATCACATGGGCTGCAGCCAAAGGCTCAACCTCAAGAGGGCTCTGTGAACAAGAGATAGCATATTAATTAAATGAGAATTTTGGTTTGTATAGTTTCATATCTGTTATCCTCAAATTGCAAAGTGGCTGCATAGCTCCAAAGTGCTTTTCCTAATGTTGACACTGCACTTAGAAATAATCACTGACTCTGACTCACAAAGCCATCAGAGGGAGATAATTTTTGAAGTTTTAGCTTGCAAAAAAAATAAATAAAATTAAAGGACTTCAGTGGATGGAAACACATTGAACTGTCTGCCAGTGATTTAAACTGAACATGACCTTCTGTGCCGACTTGATTTCATTAGGGACTTTGCTTTTAAGAAGAACATAGAAGCGGGCTTTTCAGTAGCGGTGAGTGACATTTCAGTCATTTTAGATCTCTGTTTGACTGTTTATGGGGTTGTAAGGACATATTCGCTGATCAACATTCATACTTAAGGCCATTTAAGGGCTCGCCCAGACGATACATGCTATTTATTTGATCATTTGACCAGCTTTGGCATGTTCATCACTGGCAAGTCTGCTGTGCTTTGTGTTGATAGTTCTTTGGTCACATTAATGCACATTTACAGGCTGAAAATGGTGGGCCCGAGTGCTTATTTAGCACCATACTATTCTAAAGGCCTGGCTCATGAATATTAAGAACTTTAAAAGGGATAGTTCATCCAAAAATGAAAATTCTATCATGATTTTTTTTCACCAATATGTTGTTCCAAACCAGACTTTCTTTCTTCTGCAGAACATCGAAGAATATATTTTTAAGAATGTTGGTTACCAAAACATTTTGTTTACCTTTGACTTCAATTGTATGGGCAAAAATCACTGAGACAGAGCAAAGAGAATCATAAGTAAGGGAATGATTACAGAATTTAAATTTTTTTGGATAAACTATTCCTTTAAGGAAAGGTACTAAGCATCATAATCATGACCTATTATTATTAATGAGCTAGGTTGTCACCAAAGTAAGATCTATAATGTTCCATTTACAGTACATGGCATTGACAATTGGTATGCAAGTTGTCAAAACAAACTGAAAAATATGAAAAAAATTCCGTAACCAAATGTACTTTGTTGGGACTTACGAGTCCTGTTTGATTCAATGTATCCACTGAATGCAATATAAGTCACTTTGGATAAAAGTGTGTTGCAAAATGAATTAGTAGTTTGCTTAAGAATGACCTGTACTATGTCCTGGGCTCCATTAAACTTTTTGTTATATTCCTCAGTTCATCTACAGACTGAACAAGCGTATAGCCTAGTAGAGAAAGAGTTCTGTTACAAAGAGATTGAACTGTCTTAACAATGTCAAAGTTCAGATGTACTCTCCAGCTCTGAGCTGTGGCTTTTGAGTCTCTTGTGGTGGAGTACTTATAGTTCCACTCTGAAGAAGATGGGACAGTGCCATTGGTGTTATGAGCAATCCATGTGAGGACTCTTTGATGCAGGTCCAGCCCCAGAAATCTGTATATCTCCTTGGCCTTTTCCTCAGGATTCAAGGCCAAGTCTTCATAGCGCACCAACAGATACCTACCCCTCAGCCATGTGGGTTTCTGCAGGCTGGTCTCCACAGAATACTCGATATCTCTGCACGTTCTCGTTATCTGCGTCAGGTCCATGTACCGTGGTTGGCGGCCGGTGGCATTCCATATCTTCCAGGCCCTGAATTTACCGGCAAAAGCAGTCATGCGGGAGGCAAGAATGGCTCGGGGGTCTCTCACCAAATGGATGATTCGCAGATCTAAACGGGGGTCTTCTGAAAGCGTACGTAGGTCGCCTATCTCTGGGATACGCACTGTTTTTATGGCCACATGGGTTCGTGCTTGGCAAGCCTGAGAGGCTAGTGTGAGGTTCAAGGCCTGGCACTTTTTTGGGCACCAGACTTCATCCGGTTGGCCTGCTAGAATCTCCTCGGCACCTTCCTGGCAGACAGGCGGCGTGCACAGGGCGTGACTGGAGCTGCGGCGGAAAAAGGCCCCGGTCATGTGATCCTGTGGTTCGGGCCGAATGTAGCTCTCAAGGAAGCTGAAGTCACAGTTGTAGAGATTGAGTAGGAGGTCTCGGTAGGCTCCCAGAAGAGCTCTGCCATCCAAAGCCCTTTGCAGACGGCTACTAGAATTGGTGAAGGCCTGTTGCACGTGGAAAAGGGGCTCAAAAACATAAAATATGCCAGGATGTTGATTGAAAAGTTGTCCAGTAAATGAGGAGCCACTGCGGGTTTGCGCAAACAGAAGGATGTGCTTTCGAGCGGCGGCAGCACTAGTTTCTTCAGGGACGCGGGTGTCATCGCAGAGAGATTTCCATCTCTGCTCTAGAGAAGAGAAGAAGAGAAAGTGAGATAATACGGCGCTCTGAAACCTCAGAGGACATTATAAGGCCACAAAAGACCCAATTAGTTCAGCTTCATCTTTAATCAATCATTAATTTGGGTAAGAAAATACCTGGAGCTGTAATTTAGGGGGAAAAACACAGTATAATCTGAACAAAAACTTTAATAAAGTCCAGTGCAATTAAAAAACCTATTCTGCCCATAGAGAGGAAATGTACAGCAGTAATAGTGTTGTTTTGAAGACTTGGATTGCCTCCTGATTATTGGTGGTAATCATTTGACCATTTTGAAGCAATATTTGAAAAATCGTATATAAAATTGAAATATGAACAATGAGTGCATTTCTCCTTATACGAAAAAAAGTTTGTGACTTTTGCTCAAAATGAACAATTACTATATATAGCAGGAGGGTGGGAGAGACTGATAACGCTTGTAATTATGGCTGATGAGAGACTGATTGCGCGTGGCACATTAGGTTGTGCGAGTCGACGCTTGCTGGAAGTGCAAACAGCTGGTCCGTGAGGACATATTACGGCAGATTAATGATGAGATAATTGTAGAATTAATTATTGATATTTCATCTCTCGCTCCTTACAGCAGAGGGGGGAATTTACAGGTTCCATTTCTAACAGTTCTCTGCTAATTTCTTTCCTTAGAAAATTACTCATTACAGAAGTGATGACCTGAGAGAGATAAGCCTATAGAGAGAATGTCATTTGAATCCTTTAGGATGATCTTGTCAAACCAGCTAAAGCTACGTCCATAACCAAACATGAATTATAATTGAATTTAAATCTCTATGCAAACTATAATTTAATGGAGGGCTTAAACTATGTCTAAAAATGCATCCTGGCACTTGGACTTGAATGCAGATGAAATTCAATACACATCAATAGATGGGTCATTGCTGTTATGCAGTTTTTGAGCTCTGTAACTTTATGTCTGTATAAAAGTATTTCTAAATGTTTTGAGATATATGATCTAGTCAAGCTCAGATACTTAATTCATTCTATTTATATGATTATTTACACAATGGCAAGAAAATAAAAAGAATGGAAATCCATTTTAACCATCTTTTGACATGATATCATATAATTTTATCTAAACTACATTGGATGCTTTAAAGTAAGACACACCAACTAGATCAAGGCAAATCAACTTGATATAATTAACCATAAAACACTGCAAATTTAACAGAATACACTGATAAAAATACAATGATAATATTTACTGTACTTGATGAAAAGTGAACTTGAGGACATGGAGAAACTATAAAATGATTACCAATCAATACAATTATCCCAAGAAATAATGTTTTGTTTGAAATATTTTAATTAGAGAAAATAAAAAAATAATTTTAAATATCTGGCATATTT